TTTCATTTAAGAGTCGATCATCAGATATTGTCCAAGATTAACCTTCAGGGTGGATATAGCTCGCTAGCAGCCTCGCACCAAGGACCTATCCACGTCATTTACCCAGAATGCTTTGTGTGTAAATAAAATGGCCCCGTCCGTGTAATATTTTTTAAACTTTTAATTTAAATATTATAAAAACTAAACAGCCTACAGTATTTTTACAGTCTTTATTTTACAGTTAAAATATATGTTTATTAAATAAAGTCTAATGTTACAGCTAATCAGGGATCTCTTTAAAAAAGTGAATTTAGAGCCGGTTCAGGCTTCTGCAGAGAGGAAAAGTCAGAGCTCGCCTGCAGCAGAATACCTCGAGCCATAGGTTCAAATTTTAAAGCACGCCTCGACTCCCCCCCCTCAGGTATCGCTGCAGCTACGATGTTCAGGCCCACGGCGGACGCCGGGCTGAGTGACACCCAGCTGAGGGTGGCGTTCGACGGCGACGCTGTCCTCTTCTCGGACGAGTCGGAGATCATCGTGAAGCAGCACGGCCTCGACACATTCTTCGAGCATGAGAAGAAGTTCGAGAACAAACCTCTGGCTCAGGTTGTGTTTTAAAAAGCTTCTGAATCCTGTAAATCTGTTTTATTACAGCGAGGCACAGTTTGCAGCCCGCCTCTCTGCTGGTGAATTAAAAGTGATGACTCTGTCAGCTTGAATACTAATGAATCCTAACAGATTCTTGGCAATAAATCAAAGTGTACTTGTGGAAACACACCTGTCAGGCTGTGGTTCCTGCAGGGTTTAGGAACCTGGGTCCATATTTATCAAACTTCATAGAGTGGATTTTTTTTACTTAAGTGCTGAAAATTTCTTAGATTTGCTCCAACTCTCAGACTTAAGTGTAAGTGCCAGTTATCAAAATTCTTAAGTCTTAGAATCACTCTTACTCTCAAGAAAAGTTCAGACTGCTCCAGAGGACTCTTAAGTGGTTCAGAGTTGCCACTAGGGGTCTGAGATGAACTGAAGACAGAGATTACAGCTGTCCTCCTCCCCACCTGACTGTTATTCTCAGTTACAAGATGTGGAAAACATGTTTAATCAGAAATATACAAAAGAAACAAAGGTAAACATAAATAAATAAGTAAATAAACTGCGCATAATGTTGGACTAAAAGGCGGATATCTGTGTGTAGCTTTTGGAGAAAATATTAAATATACTCAGCGGGTGAGTGCATGCAAACCCCCACCCCCAGAAAGAAAGAAAGAAAGAAAGAAAGAAAGAAAGACAGAAAGTAAGACAGAAAGAAAGTAAGAAAGAGAACAATTACGGTGGGATTGAATGTTTCGTTTATTAGATTAACAATCACGTGATACAATAATGGAGCGCGGGGGGCGTGGGTTGGGGGGGGGGCTCCTCTCGGACCAAGCTGGTAATGACGGAGCAGGCTGTGTGTGCGTGTGTGTGTCTGTGTGTAATGCCGGTGTTGTCTGCAGACAGTGGTGAAGAGGAGAAGGGAGCAGCTCAACATGACCTCAGACTCTGAGACATTAAACAACTTTAAAGTTGCTGAGTTTTTGATTTAAACAATTGTGAGATTTTCGTCTGTTTTCATGACACAAATGAGGACATTTGATGCAATTTACAGACAATCAGTACAAGGTGACAACATTAGTGTGTTGAAAGTGAACTTATCTTAGGATTTTCACAGTTTTATCTTGACATTTCTCCTAGTATATTCTTGAACATGAAATCCGAGGCAGTGATTGGTTCATGTTGGGGTTTTTTCTAACGACGTCATCCAGGATCAGC